AGCGAAGCTAAGCCAAGCGCAGCTATGCGAAGCGAAGCAAGGCTAAGCGAAGCTAAGAGAAGCGAACGGAAGCAAAGCTAAGCGAAGCGAAGCAAAGCTAAGCGAAGCGAAGCGAAGCTAAGCGAATCTAAGCGAAGCTAAGCAAAGCGAAGCGAAGCTAAGCGAAGAGAAGCGAAGCGAAGCGAAGCAAAGCTAAGCGAAGCGAAGCGAAGCTAAGCAAAGCGAAGCTAAGCGAAGCAAAGGAAAGTTAAGGGAAGCTAAGCGAAGCGAAGCTAAGCGGAGCGAAGGGAAGCTAAGCGAAGCGAAGCGAAGCTAAGCAAAACTAAGCGAAGCTAAGCGTAGCTAAGCGAAGCTAAGCAAAGCTAAGTGAAGCTAAGCGAAGCTAAGCGAAGCTAAGCGAAGCTACGCGAAGCTAAGCGAAGCGAACCGAAGCTAAGCGAAGCTAAGCGAAGCGAAGCGAAGCTAAGCGAAGCTAAGCAAAGCGAAGCGAGGAGAAGCAAAGAGAAGCGTAGCGAAGAGAACCAAAGGTAAGAGATGCAAAACGAAGCAAAGCGCAGCTATACGAAGCTAAGCAAAGCTAAGCGAAGCGAAGTGAAGCTATGGGAAGCGAACTGAAGCTAAGGGAAGCGAAGTGAAGCGAAGCTAAGCAAAGCTAAGCAAGGCTAAAGTGAAGCTAAACGAGCTAAGCGAAGCGAAGCGAAGCTAAGCAAAGGTAAGCTAACCGAAGCTAAGCGAAGCTAAGCGAAGCTAAGCGAAGCTAAGCGGAGCGAAGCTAAGCGAAGCTAAGCGAAGCGAAGCGAAGCTAAGCGAAGCTAAGTGAAGCGAAGCGAAGAAAAGCAAAGACAAGTGTAGCGAAGAGAAGCGAAGCGAAGAGAAGCAAAACGAAGCTAAGTGCAGCCATGCATAGTGAAGCGAAGCTAAGTGAAGCTAAGCGAAGTGAAGTGAAGCTAAGGGAAGCAAACCGAAGCTAAGTGAAGCGAAGCTAAGCGAAGCAAAGCGAAGCTAAGTGAAGCGAAGCGAAGCAAAGCGAAGCGAAGCAAAGCAAAGCGAAGCAAAGCAAAGCTAAGCGAAGCTAAGCGAAGCTAAGGGAAGCTAAGCAAAGCGAAGCAAGGCGAAGCGAAGCAAAGCGAAATGAAGCGAAGCTAAGCAAAGCGAAGCGAAGCTAAGTGAAGCGAAGCAAAGCTAAACAAAGCTAAGCGAAGCTAAGCAAAGTGAAGCGAAGCAAAGCTATGTGAAGCTAGGCTACGCGAAGCGAACACGAAGCTAAGCGAAGCGAAGCGAAGCTAATCAAAGCAAAGTGAAGCGAAGCTAAGCAAAGGGAACACAAAGCTAAGCGAAGCTAATCAAAGCTAGGCGAAGTGATGCTAAGCGAAGCTAAGCAAAGCGAAGCTAAACGAAGCTAAGCGAAGCTAAGAGAAGCGAGGCGAAGCGAAGAGAAGCGAAGAGAAGCGAAGCGAAGCTAAGCGAAGCTAAGGGAAGCGAAGAGAAGAGAAGCTAAGTGAAGCGAAGCGAAGCTAAGCGAAGCTAAGTGAAGCAAAGCAAAGCTAAGCGAAGCGAAGTGAAGAGAAGCTCAGCAAAGCGAACACGAAGCTAAGCGAAGCGAATCGAAGCTAATCGAAGCAAAGTGAAGCGAAGCTAAGCGAAGCTAAGCAAAACGAAGCAAAGCTAAGCGAAGCAAAGCAATGCGAAGCGAAGCTAAGCGAAGCGAACACGAAGCTAAGCGAAGCTTATCCAAGCCAAGCGAAGCGAACATGAAGCTAAGGGAAGCTAAGCGAAGCGACGCGAAGCGAAGCGAAGCGAAGTGAAGAGAAGCGAAGAGAAGCGAAGCGAAGCTAAGCTAAGCTAAGAGAATCGAAGCGAAGATATGAGACGCGAAGTAAAGCGCAGCTAAGCAAGGCGAATCTAAGCTAAGCGACGAGAAGCGAAGCGAAGCTAAGGGAAGCAAAGCGAAGCGAAGCGAAGCTAAGCAAAGCTAAGCGAAGCTAAGCGAAACGAAGCAAAGCTTAGCAAGGCAAAACGAAGCAAAGCTAAGCGAAGCTAGGCGAAGCTAAGCAAAGCAAAGCAAAGCTAAGAGAAGCTAAGCGAAGCTAAGCGAGGCAAAGCGAAGCTAAGCGAAGCTAAGCGAAGCGAAGCAAAGCTAAGCGAAGCGAGGCTAAGCAAAGCAAACAGGAAGCTAAGCGAAGCGAACATGAAGCTAAGCGAAGCATTGCTAAGCAACGCGAAGCGAATCTAAGTGAAGCTAAGCGAAGCGAAGCGAAGCAAAGCAAAGCTAAGCGAAGAGAAGCGAAGCGGAGCGAAGAGAAGCTAAGCGAAGCTAAGCAAAGCGAAGCTAAGCGAAGAAATGCATAGTTAAGGGAAGCTAAGCAAAGCGAAGCGAAGGGAAGCTAAGCGAAGCGAAGCAAAGCAAAGCGAAGCGAAGCAAAGCGAAGCGAAGCGAAGCGAAGAGAAGCAAAGAGAAGCGTAGCGAAGAGAACCAAAGTTAAGAGAAGCAAAACGAAGCAAAGCGCAGCTATGCGAAGCAAAGCGAAGCTTAGCGAAGCTGAGCGAAGCGAAGTGAAGCTATGGGAAGCGAACCGAAACTAAGGGAAGCGAAGCTAAGCAAAGCTAAGCGAAGCGAAGCGAAGCTAAGCGAAGCAAAGCGAAGCTAAGCGAAGCGAAGCAAAGCCAAGCGAGTCTAAGCGAAGTTAAGCGAATCAAAGCGAAGCGAAGCGAAGCTAAGCGAAGCCAAGCAAAGCTAAGCGAAGCTAAGCGAAGAGAAGCGAAGCAAAGCCAAGCGAAGCTCAACGAGCTAAGCGAAGCTAAGCAAAGCGTAGCTAAGCAAAGATAAGCAAAGTGAAGTTAAGCGAAGCTAAGCGAACCTAAGCGGAGCAAAGCTAAGCGAAGCTAAGCGAAACTAAGCGAAGCGAAGCGAAGCTAAGCGAAGCGAAGCGAAGAGAAGCGAAAAGAGGCAAAGAGAAGCGAAGAGAGGAATAGCGAAGCTAAGCGAAGGTAAGAGAAGCAAAGCTGAGCGAAGTGAAGCGAAGCGAACCTAAGCGAAGCGAAGCGAAGAGAAGCGAAGAGAAGCGAAGGGAAGCTAAGCGAAGCAATGCGAAGAAAAGCATAGAGAGCGAAGCGAAGAGAAGCATAGAGAGCGAAGCGAAAAGAAGCGAAGCTAAGAGAAGCAAAGCGAAGGTAAGCGAAGGTATGCGAACCGAAGCGAAGCTAAGCGAAGCTAAGGGAAGCGAACCAAAGCTAAGGGAAGCGAAGCGAAGCTAAGCGAAGCTAAGCGAAGCGAAATGAAGCTAGGCGAAGCTAAGCAAAGCAAAGTGAAACGAAGCAAAGCTTAGCTAAGCTTAGCGAAGCGAAGTGAAGCTAAGGGAAGCGAACTGTAGCTAAGGGAAGCAAAGCGAAGCTAAGCCAAGCGCAGCTATGCGAAGCGAAGCAAGGCTAAGCGAAGCTAAGAGAAGCGAACGGAAGCGAAGGAAAGCGAAGCGAAGCAAAGCTAAGCGAAGCGAAGCAAAGCTAAGCAAAGCGAAGCGAAGCTAAGCGAATCTAAGCGAAGCGAAGCGAAGCTAAGCGAATCTAAGCGAAGCTAAGCAAAGCAAAGCGAATCTAAGCGAAGCTAAGCGAAGCAAAGCGAAGCAAAGCGAAGCGAAGCGAAGCGAAGCGAAGCGAAGCGAAGCGAAGCGAAGCGAAGCGAAGCGAAGCGAAGCGAAGCGAAGAGAAGCAAAGAGAAGCGTAGCGAAGAGAACAAAAGTTAAGAGAAGCAAAACGAAGCAAAGCGCAGCTATGCGAAGCAAAGCGAAGCTAAGCGAAGCTGAGCGAAGCGAAGTGAAGCTATGGGAAGCGAACCGAAGCTAAGGGAAGCGAAGCGAAGCGAAGCTAAGCAAAGCTAAGCGAAGCGAAGCGAAGCTAAGCGAAGCAAAGCGAAGCTAAGCGAAGCTAAGTGAAGCGAAGCAAAGCCAAGCGAGTCTAAGCGAAGTTAAGCGAAGTAAAGCGAAGCGAAGCGAAGCTAAGCGAAGCCAAGCAAAGCTAAGCGAAGCTAAGCGAAGAGAAGCGAAGCAAAGCCAAGCGAAGCTCAACGAGCTAAGCGAAGCTAAGCAAAGCGAAGCTAAGCAAAGCAAAGCGAAGTTTAGCGAAGCTAAGCGAAGCTAAGCGGAGCAAAGCTAAGCGAAGCTAAGCGAAACTAAGCGAAGAGAAGCGAAAAGAGGCAAAGAGAAGCGAAGAGAGGAATAGCGAAGCTAAGCGAAGGTAAGAGAAGCAAAGCTAAGCGAAGTGAAGCTAAGCGAACCTAAGCGAAGCGAAGCGAAGAGAAGCGAAGAGAAGCGAAGGGAAGCTAAGCGAAGCGATGCGAAGAGAAGCATAGAGAGCGAAGCGAAGAGAAGCATAGAGAGCGAAGCGAAAAGAAGCGAAGCTAAGAGAAGCAAAGTGAAGGTAAGCGAAGGTATGCGAACCGAAGCGAAGCTAAGCGAAGCGAAGCGAAGCTAAGGGAAGCGAACCAAAGCTAAGGGAAGCGAAGCGAAGCTAAGCGAAGCTAAGCAAAGCGAAATGAAGCTAGGCGAAGCTAAGCAAAGCAAAGTGAAACGAAGCAAAGCTTAGCTAAGCTTAGCGAAGCGAAGTGAAGCTAAGGGAAGCGAACTGTAGCTAAGAGAAGCGAAGCGAAGCTAAGCCAAGCGCAGCTATGCGAAGCGAAGCAAGGCTAAGCGAAGCTAAGAGAAGCGAACGGAAGCGAAGGAAAGCGAAGCGAAGCAAAGCTAAGCGAAGCGAAGCGAAGCTAAGCGAATCTAAGCGAAGGTAAGCAAAGCGAAGCGAAGCTAAGCGAAGAGAAGCGAAGCGAAGCTAAGCGAAGCGAAGCGAAGCTAAGCAAAGCGAAGCTAAGCAAAGCAAAGGAAAGTTAAGGGAAGCTAAGCGAAGCGAAGCTAAGCGGAGCGAAGGGAAGCTAAGCGAAGCGAAGCGTGTTAGGATTAAGGACGGAGTCTAGGTGAACTTAGGAGCTAGAATTACTCAAAATATAAATCCGAAATTCTGGACAGAAAAGTCGTCTTCACAAGAAACGACGTCGACGAAAACCTAGCCGTTGGAATGTCGCGAAACTTGGATATGTTGTAGCTCTTATCTCAGCTACCGTTCCCAATTTGAATCACGTTGATTGATGAAGTATTCGCGACGCTATGGCTTTCGACGCATTAGGGGGTAAGCTGTAGGAGGAGAACTTAACTCAATCTCAAGAGTTCAATCAAAGTTCAAGAATCTCACAAGGAATTAGAGGAGCAAGAGAAAGGTTGGGATAGAAGAGAGGGATGAGAGGGAAGGTCCCAAGAGAGTCCCCAACCAAGGAAACCCCATAAGCACAAAGATTCCCTCCCTATAGGAACCCCAACTTTGACATTTGTCCCTTCCCAACCAATCCATCCAAGTTGGCCACCCTTGCCAACCTAGCTTGGTTGTTCCCAACCAATTTGCAGCTGTTACAGTAGAGTGACGAATTTCCCCAACCCCAAAGGTCCCAACTCCATATAAAGTCACCCCACAACTTCACTTTGTAACCGCCGCAATTGTAACGCAAGCTCATGAACTTTGAATCTTCATAGCTTTCGCGTTCTTGCTCCGATTGACGCGATTCTTGTTGCGTCGGAAAGATCTTCTCAAGATCTATCATCACAAATACCTGCTCAGACAGAATAACACAAAACACATTCCCAAACTCCAGAACACACACCACACAAATTCTTTCACACACAGTCAAACCATACGTGCGAATTGAAACAAGGGATGGGAGGCAGACAGAATGTGATAACATATGATGACATCACACAACAATCTCCCCCTCTGGCTGCCAACCATCAACCACCATACCAACATCTCAAGCATGCATACTCAATGCACACTCATCCCAGCAAGCTTCATGCCCTTCCAATGATCCGCCTCCGCCAGACGCTTGGTGAAAATATCTGCTGCCTGCTGATGGGTCTTCACTATCTCCAGCCGCACCTCCTTATCAAGGAGTCTCCTCACCCAGTGCCACTTAGGCCTTATGTGTTTTGTCAGCCCATGCAAACAAGCATTCTTGGCGAGCTTCACAGCAGACTCATTGTCACAGAACACAACTGTCGGCTCCTCCTGACCAACTCCCAACTCCTCCAACAAACGCCTTAGCCACACTACTTCCTTGGCCCCATGGTGTAAGGCCATGTACTCAGTCTCACATGAGGACAATCCCACCTCATTCTGCTTCTTGCTGCGCCAGCTCACAGCACCACCTCCTAGCAAGCACACATAACCCCCAATGCTGGTGCCATCCGCTTTCACTGAGTTGAAGCTAGCGTCAGTATAGCAACTCAAGAGCATCTCACCACTCTTCACATCTGCAGCACCTCTCTGCAACCGCTGCCTCACTCCACTGTACTCCAATCCCACTGATGCCGTAGCACTCACATAGCGGACCAACCTCTTGGCCGCTTCCAGCTGCTCATGACTAGGGCGTGAGACCACACTAGCCAACCGTGATGTAGAAAATGCAATGTCAGGCCGTGTATGATTTGCAGCATAATTCAGCGACCCAACCATCGAATGAAACAGCTTCCTGTCACTCTCACCCACTACCTCCTCATCAGCACATGGCTCCACAGTAAACCCTGAAGGTAGTGGTGTTGCTGGCTTTCCCCCATCTTGCAGCCCATACTTCTCAGCCAGCCCCTCACAGTACTTCCTCTGGTGCAACCTCAGCACACCCTTCTCCACATCTCTCTCCACATGCATCCCCAAGTAGTACTTCACCTCACCCATCTTGGAACACTTGAACTGCATCTCTAGCATCTGCTCTGCGCTGTCCAGCAAAGCAGTTGATGCAGAAAAGAGAAGGATATCATCCACGTACACCAAGAGCATGAGGATTTCATCCTTCTCCTGCAGCAGGAACAGGCTGGGGTCACACTCACTCTTCTTGAAACCCCCAGCCAGCAGCGCCTCCTCCAACTTGTGATACCATGCACGAGGCGCCTGCTTAAGGCCATAGATGGCCTTCTTCAGCCTGCAGACCCTGCCGCTCCCATCATCCAGCCCCTCTGGCTGCTTCATATACACCTCCTCCAGAATGATCCCATTCAGAAAGGCAGTCACAATGTCCATCTGCCGTATCTTCCATCCCAGGAGTGCAGCTATCGCCAACAGCACCCTCAGTGTTGTTCCTTTCCCCACAGGAGCAAACACCTCATCATAGTCCTTCCCTTTTGTCTGCTGAAACCCCCTTGCCACAAGCCTAGACTTGTATCGGGTCAGCTCCCCTTCAGGTCCATACTTGTGCCTGTAGATCATCTTGGAAGTGATTGCCTTCTTTCCAGGAGGCAAGTCACACAGGTCCCATGTCTCGTTCTCAATCAGGGACCCAAACTCCTCATCCTCACTCGCCTTCCACTTCTCCCCATTTGGTCCATTCAAGGCCTCTTCTCGAGTCTTGGGCTCAGGGATTGGTGCCCAGTAGCAGTGAGCGATCTCATCTTCCTCAATCTGCTCAACCACACTCCCAGCCTGCACCACATTCGGCTTGCCTCTTCCCCCATAGGTCAGCCTCACTGGAGGGCGCACATCCCTCCTAGGACGCTCAGGCGGGTGTGGAACTCGAGGTGGAGACTCATGCTGCTGCTGCTGCTGCTCTACTTCAGCTGCTCCCCCTTCCTCAGTCACCCCAGACATCTCCTCCTCTGACACTGCAACCTCTACCTGTCTTGAAGGCCGCTGCACCTCATCCGCCTCCACAATGAGCGGTGTAGATGGAAGCTTCTGTTGCTGCTGCTTCCATTCCTTGTAGTACAGGGACTCAAGAAACTTCACATCCCTTGACACTGTCAACTTCTGGGTGGTCAAGTCCCATAGCAGCCACCCCTTGTGATCCTTTGCAATCCCCAAGTGCACACCCCATCTTCCAGAAGCCTCCAACTTCCCCCTTTTCTCCTTAGGCACATGAAACACTACCATGCACCCAAATGCCCTCAGCATATTCACAGCTGGAGCACTCCCATACCACTTGACATATGGGATCCACTCCTTATCTCCAACTGTAGCCAGCACCCTGTTCTTCACAAGGGCGACCTGCCTCAGTGCAGACACCCAAAACGGATCAGGCAGCCCTGCACGCCCAAGGAGAGTGCGTGCCCCCTCCTGCAGGGTCCTGTTGAACCTCTCAGCCACGCCATTCTGCTGCGGGTTGTAGGGCACTGTCAGTTGATGCTGGATCCCCTTCCTCTTCAACTCCCCCTCAAAATCAGCTCCAATGAACTCCCCACCATTGTCACTACGGATCACCTTCACCTTGTGTCCGCATTCCCTCTGAGCTCTCGGCATCCACTCCTTAAGGACAGCCGCTGCCACCTCCCCCTTGCTGTTCAAAGGGTAAACCCACACTGCTCGAGTGTGGTCATCCACAATTGTCAAGAAATAGCGGCTGCCTGAGAGGGAAGGGGCTCTTGTGGGCCCCACCACATCCATGTGCACAAGTGCAAGTGGGGTCTTGGCTGGTCCTGTAGTGCTGTTGAAGGGGAACTTGGAGAACTTGGTCTCCAAGCATGTAGGGCAGCTCCCAATCTCCTTCACTCCCCCTTTCACCTCCAAGCCTTTCAGGCTCCCATCCTTTACCAACTTCTGTAGCATAGGGAAGTTCACATGACACAGCCTCTCATGCCATGTCTCCCAATCGGCCTCTCCACTCTTTGATGAAGCCTTAGCCCATGCCGCACTCGCATCCACACCAGCAAGCACCTCACCATGTCTCTGCTGCTGCTGCACTTTCTTGACTGCTTCCAGGACCCCATCAGTTGGTGCAGTTGCATCTCCTCCTGCTGTTGCCTTTGCCGCTGCTGCCGTTGCTGCTGTTGGAGTCTTCCCATTCCATGGGATGATGGGCAGCTGCCACAGGTCCTTGATGCAGCTGGTCTCCTCTTCCAGACTCCATAGCACCTTCTTCCCAAGCTTAGCACGGCAGCTGGTTGGTCCAAAGGTCACTTCGGCCTTGCTCTTCTGCAGTCGTCGCACAGAGAGAAGGTTAGCAGACAAGCCTTTAACCAGCAGAACATTCCCAAGCCCCACAAGCTCCCCATTAGCTCCCTTAACCTTGGCATTCCAACACCAATGACAGGGAGCAAAGCACCTGACGCTGCTGCCACATACTTGATCTTCCCAGGGGGTTTTACCTCATCAAGCAAATCTGCCCGTGGGGTCATGTGACTGGTGCAACCCGAATCAATCACCCAGTGCGTGAGAGGGTGCATCACAACCTTTCCCACAGATCCCACATCACCCTCATGCCCATGCACATCCTCAACCATAACAAACAAACCAGGATAGGCATTACCTTGTGCACCTTCACCTTGTGCACCTGAGCCTTGCACAGCGCCACCTTGTGCGCGTTCACCACTGGGCGGCTTCATGCCTGGAGGTGCCCATCCCTCCAGCCTGCTGAAGCACTTGAACCAAGGATGCCCAACCTTCTTGCAGTACCAGCACGTGCCCTCCATTCTGGTACTCCCCCTGCCACTAGAGCTCCCATGCCCCTCATTATAGTCACCTCGGCCTCTACCTCTGCCAAAGCTCCTCCCACGGCCTCGGCCTTTCCAACCCCCTCTTCCTCTGCCGCGCCCTGCAGCTCCATACCCCTCAGCAGTCTTAGTGGCAGCACCGCCTCCCACATGGCGTCTGCGGAAGTCCTCCTGCAGAATCTGCTGCCTTAGCCACTCAGGTGTCCATTGATCTTGCTGAGAGTTGAGGGTGGGGATGAGGTTATCCCACGAGTTGTCCAACACCGAGATGATCTTGGTGCACTGCTGCAGCTGAGATACACTGCTGCCCGCTGCTGCCATCCTTGCATAGGTGTCCTTGATCTTGTCAAGGACCGGCTTCACATCGTCCCCTGGTCGCATGGAGATGGCAGCAAGTTCCTTCTCGAGCACGATCACCATCAGGAGAGTGTTGGGCTGAATCACATCGCGTAGTAGTTTCCACGCCCTTGGACCCGAATCATCCGCTTCCACAAGATCCTTGATGTGCTCGAACATCTCCTTGTTGACCGATTGAAGGATGAGGTCGAAAAGCACCGTGCTTTTCTCAATCCACCGTTCACGTGCTTCGCCTTCTTCCGGCATCTTCTCTTCCCCAACAGCAATCTTCAGTAGCTTGTAGCGTTTGAAGGCACTTCTCATCCGTCCGCTCCATTCCTCATAGTTGGAGCCATCCAAAGCTTCAACTTTTGATGGCGGCGGTTCACTTGTCTTCTCAGCTACAGCTCCTCTTCCATTAGCATCTCCTCCTCTCTCATTCATCTTCTCCTTGAGAAATGACGAATTTCAGCTCCCCTTTGCTGTCCACACTCAGCTCCCTCGATATTTTCACAAGTGTCGGCGTCCACGAAATTTCGGCAGAGTTTCCCCTTAGCGGAAGACACATCCAACCTTTAGAACACCACTTAGGCACACCCACAGGCCATGGTGGGTCTAGAAGGGTCTTCACACTTCTGTAGACTCCTCTCAATGTCCTTAATATGCTCTGATACCACTTGTTAGGATTAAGGACGGAGTCTAGGTGAACTTAGGAGCTAGAATTACTCAAAATATAAATCCGAAATTCTGGACAGAAAAGTCGTCTTCACAAGAAACGACGTCGACGAAAAACTAGCCGTTGGAATGTCGCGAAACTTGGATATGTTGTAGCTCTTATCTCAGCTACCGTTCCCAATTTGAATCACGTTGATTGATGAAGTATTCGCGACGCTATGGCTTTCGACGCATTAGGGGGTAAGCTGTAGGAGGAGAACTTAACTCAATCTCAAGAGTTCAATCAAAGTTCAAGAATCTCACAAGGAATTAGAGGAGCAAGAGAAAGGTTGGGATAGAAGAGAGGGATGAGAGGGAAGGTCCCAAGAGAGTCCCCAACCAAGGAAACCCCATAAGCACAAAGATTCCCTCCCTATAGGAACCCCAACTTTGACATTTGTCCCTTCCCAACCAATCCATCCAAGTTGGCCACCCTTGCCAACCTAGCTTGGTTGTTCCCAACCAATTTGCAGCTGTTACAGTAGAGTGACGAATTTCCCCAACCCCAAAGGTCCCAACTCCATATAAAGTCACCCCACAACTTCACTTTGTAACCGCCGCAATTGTAACGCAAGCTCATGAACTTTGAATCTTCATAGCTTTCGCGTTCTTGCTCCGATTGACGCGATTCTTGTTGCGTCGGAAAGATCTTCTCAAGATCTATCATCACAAATACCTGCTCAGACAGAATAACACAAAACACATTCCCAAACTCCAGAACACACACCACACAAATTCTTTCACACAGTCAAACCATACGTGCGAATTGAAACAAGGGATGGGAGGCAGACAGAATGTGATAACATATGATGACATCACACAACAAAGAAGAAGCAAAAAAAAGAGGAAGCTAAGCGAAGCAAGCGAGCTAAGCGAAGCAAGCAAAGCTAAGGAAGCAAAGCGAAGCAAGCGAAGCTAAGCGAAGCTAAGCGAAGCGAAGCGAAGAAGCGAAGTAAGCGAAGGTGTAGATAAGGACGAGTCTAGTGAACTTAGGAGCTAGAATACTCAAAATATAAATCCGAAATTCTGGACAGAAAAGTCGTCTTTACAAGAAACGACGTCGACGAAAAACTAGCCGTTGGAATGTCGCGAAACTTGGATATGTTGTAGCTCTTAATCTCAGCTACCGTTCCCAATTTGAATCACGTTGATTGATGAAGTATTCGCGACGCTATGGCTTTCGACGCATTAGGGGGTAAGCTGTAGGAGGAGAACTTAACTCAATCTCAAAGGTTCAATCAAAGTTCAAGAATCTCACAAGGAATTAGAAGGAGCAAGAGAAAGGTTGGGATAGGAAGAGAGGGATGAGAGGGAAGGTCCCAAGAGAGTCCCCAACCAAGGAAAACCCCATAAGCACAAAGATTCCCTCCCTATAGGAACCCCAACTTTGACATTTGTCCCTTCCCAACCAATCCATCCAAGTTGGCCACCCTTGCCAACCTAGCTTGGTTGTTCCCAACCAATTTGCAGCTGTTACAGTAGAGTGACAAGTTTCCCCAACCCCAAAGGTCCCAACTCCATATAAAGTCACCCCACAACTTCACTTAGTAACCGCCGCAATTGTAACGCAAGCTCATGAACTTTGAATCTTCATAGCTTTCGCGTTCTTGCTCCGATTGAAGCGATTCTTGTTGCGTCGGAAAGATCTTCTCAAGATCTATTATCACAAATACCTGCTCAGACAGAATAACACAAAACACATTCCCAAACTCCAGAACACACCACACACAAATGCTTGCACATTCAAACCACACATGCAAGTTGAAAAAACATGGGATGGGAGGCAGACAGAATGTGATAGCATATGATGACATCACACAACAAAGCAAAGCGAAGCGAAGCGAAGCGAAGCAAAGCTAAGCGAAGCGAAGCGAAGCTAAGCGAAGCGAAGCGAAGCTAAGCGAAGCGAAGCGAAGCTAAGCAAGGCGAAGCTAAGCTAAGCAAAGCGAGGCTAAGCGAAGCGAACACGAAGCTAAGCGAAGCGAACACGAAGCTAATCGAAGCGAAGCTAAGCGAAGCGAACATGAAGCTAAGGGAAGCTAAGCAAAGCAAAGCGAAGTGAAGAGAAGCTAAGCAAAGCGAAGCGAAGTGAAGAGAAGCTTAGCGAAGCGAACACGAAGCTAAACGAAGCGAAGCAAAGCTAATCGAAGCGAGGTGAAGCTAATCGAAGCAAAGCAAAGCGAAGCTAAGCGAAGCGAACAAGAAGGTAAGCGAAGCTAATCGAAGCTAAGCGAAGCTAGGGGAAGCGAAGCGAAGCTAAGCAAAGCTAGGCGAAGCAAAGCGAAGCGAAGCGAAGCTAAGGAAAGCGAAGCAAAGCTAAGCGAAGCAAAGCGAAGCGAAGCGAAGCTAAGCGAAGCAAAGCGAAGCTAAGCGAAGCAAAGCGAAGCTAAGCGAAGCGAAGCGAAGCGAAGTGAAGCGAAGAGAAGCGAAGCGATGCGAAGCAAAGAAAAGCAAAGCGAAGTGAAGCGAAGAGAAGCGAATCTAAGAGAAGCAAAGCAAAGCTAAGCGCAGTTATGTAAAGCGAAGTGAAGCTAAGCGAAGCGAAGCGAAGCTAAAAGAAGCGAAGCGAATCTAAGGGAAGCGAAGCGAAGCTAAGCGAAGCGAAGCGAAGCGAAGCAAAGCTAAGCGAAGAGAAGCGAAGCGAAGTGAAGCTAAAAGAAGCGAAGCTAAGCGAAGCGAAGTGAAGCTAAGCGAAGCAAAGCGAAGCGAAGCGGAGCTAAGCGAAGCTAAGAGAAGGAAAGCGAAGCGAAGCGAAGCTAAGCGAAGCAAGGCGAAGCTAAGCAAAGCTAAGGGGAGCGAAGCGAAGCGAAGCGAAGCGAAGAGAAGCGAAGCAAAGCTAAGCAAAGCTAAGCGAAGTGAATCTAAACGAAGCAAAGCGAATCAAAGCGAAGCTAAGCGAAGCAAGGCAAAGCGAAGCAAAGAGAAGCAAAGAGAAGCGAATCGAAGAGAAGCGAAGCTAAGCGAAGCAAAGCAAAGCTAAGCGCAGCTATGCGAAGCGAAGCGAAGCTAAGCGAAGCTAAGCAAAGCTAAGCGAAGCTAAGGGAAGCGAAGCGAAGCTAAGGGAAGCGAAGCGAAGCTAAGCAAAGCGAAGCGAAGCAAAGCGAAGTGAAGCGAAGCAAAGCGAAGCTAAGCAAAGCGCAGAGAAGCGAAGCGAAGCGAAGCAAAGCGAAGCGAAGCTAAGTGAAGCAAAGCGAAGCTAAGCGAAGCGAAGCAAAGCGAAGAGAAGCATAGAGAAGCGAAGCGAAGAGAAGCGAAGCTAAGAGAAGCACAGCGAAGCTAAGCGAAGGAAAGCAAAGCGAATCTAAGCTAAGCGAAGTGAAGCTAAGCGAAGCTAAGCGAAGCGAAGCGAAGCTAAGCGAAGAGAAGCGAAGCGAAGTGAAGCTAAGAGAAGCGAAGCTAAGCGAAGCGAAGCGAAGCTAAGCAAAGCAAAGCGAAGCTAAGCGAAGCAAGGCAAACTTAAGCGAAGCTAAGCGAAGCTAAGCGAAGCAATGCGAAACTAAGCGAAGCTAAGCGAAGAGAAGCAAAGAGAAGCGTAGCGAAGAGAAGCAAAGCTAAGAGAAGCAAAACGAAGCTAAGCGCAGCTATGCGAAGCGAAGCGAAGCTAAGCGAAGCGAAGTGAAGCTAAGGGAAGCAAACCGAAGCTAAGGGAATCGAAGCTAAGCGAAGCTAAGGGAAGCGAAGCGAAGCTAAGCGAAGCGAAGCAAAGCGAAGCGAATCTAAGCGAAGCTAAGCGAAGCAAAGCGAAGCGAAGGAATGCTAAGAAAAGCTAAGCGAAGCTAAGCGAAGAGAAGCGAAGCAAAGCCAAGCGAAGCTAAACGAAACTAAGCGAAGCGAAGGGAAGCTAAGCGAAGCTAAGCAAAGCGAAGCTAAGAGAAGCAAAGCGAAGTTAAGCGAAGCTAAGCGAAGCGAAGCGAAGCTAAGCGAAGCTAAGCGAAGCGAAGCGAAGCTAAGCGATGCTAAGCAAAGCGAAGCGAAGAGAAGCGAAGAGAGGCAAAGCGAAGCTAAGCGAAGCGTAGCTAAGCGAAGCTAAGAGAAGCGAAGCGAAGCAAAGCTAAGCGAAGCGAAGCGAATTGAAGCAAAGCGAAGCGAAGCGAAGCTATGCGAAGCTAAGCGAAATGAAGCAAAGAGAAACGAAGAGAGGCAAAGCAAAGCAAAGCTAAGCGAAGCGAAGCTAAGCAAAGCTAAGCGAAGCGAAGCGAAGAGAAATGAAGCGAAGCCAAGCGAAGCTAAGCGAGGAGAAGCGAAGCAAAGCCAAGCGAAGCCAAACGTAGCTAAGCGAAGCGAAGCGAAGCTAAGCAAAGTGAAGCTAAGCGAAGCAAAGCGAAGTTAAGCGAAGCTAAGCGAAGCGAAGCGAAGCAAAGCGAAGCTAAGCGAAGCGAAGTGAAGAGAAGGAAAGAGAACCGTAGCGAAGAGAAGCGAAGCTAAGAGAAGCAAAACGAAGCTAAGCGCAGCTATGCGAAGCGAAGTGAAGCTAAGCGAAGCGAAGTGAAGCTAAGGGAAGCAAACCGAAGCTAAGGGAAGCGAAGCTAAGTGAAGCAAAGCAAAGCTAAGCGAAGCGAAGCGAAGCTAAGCGAAGCGAAGCAAATCTAAGCGAAGCTAAGCGAAGCAAAGTGAAGCGAAGCAATGCTAAGAAAAGCTAAGCGAAGCTAAGCGAAGAGAAGCGAAGCAAAGCCAAACGAAGCTAAGCGAAGCGAAGGGAAGCTAAGCAAAGTGAAGTGAAGCTAAGCAAAGCGAAGCTAAGAGAAGCAAAGCGAAGTTAAGCGAAGCTAAACGAAGCTAAGCGAAGCTAAGCGAAGCTATGCGAAGCGAAGCAAAGCTAAGCGATGCTAAGCAAAGCGAAGCGAAGAGAAGCGAAGAGAGGCAAAGCGAAGCTAAGCGAAGCGTAGCTAAGCGAAGCTAAGAGAAGCGAA